TGCCATGGAACAGATTCAGGCGGCACTTCCGTTTGTGTCTGTTCTTTTGGATCATATCGCGTCGTCACGTGCTATCACCATTCCAGCAGCAAGATTTGATTTTACCGCCCAAAGTAACATGGATTGCCGTTTCAAGTTTCGATTTAGCAAGCCTCATATAGTCGAACTTGTTCACCTCCTCGAGATACCCGACCCGTTCACCACCAAAACCAGATACACAGCTTCAGCAATCGAGGCAGTGTGTATCATGCTCAACCGCCTTGCATGGCCCCATCGACTTGGAACAATGGTTCAGACGTTTGGACGCAGCCGTGAGGCGTTATCGAGCATCGCAAACAGCGTTGTTCAGCATGTTTACGACAAATTTGGCCACCTGCTGCAATGGGACTATGACCGCCTCAACGCCGACTGGATGAAGTCCTGCGGGGACGCAATCCATGCACAAGGGGCGCCCTTGACGACATGCATTGGCTTCATTGACGGGACGGTACGCGGAATTTGCCGGCCGGGGAAAAAGGTTCAAAAATCCGTGTACAATGGTCACAAGGTAATGCTCGTCTGCAATCCAGTACTAAAGGAGGCTTTGCTAGCGGAAGCATGCATTGAAGTACCAAGCTGTGACCTCACCGGATGGAATAATTGTCCACCTCCATGGCCCAGAGCCAGGCTCTCGCCACGATGCGTATCTGCTGGCCAGAAGCGGATTAGTTGAGAAACTGCAAAGTAAGCTTGTTGTTTCAGGTACTCGCTATGTGATTTACGGAGACCCTGCGTATGGGGTCAATGATGTGATTGTATCTGGATTCAAAGGTGCAAAGTTGAATGAGCACGAGGCAGAGTTCAACCGTCGCATGAGTGCTGTGCGAGTAAGTGTGGAATGGGGCTTTGGTATTGTCCGGAACTTGTGGACGTTTGTCGACTACAAGGGTGGTCAAAAGCTATGGCTGCAGTCACTTGGAATGCACTACAGTGTGGCGGTCATTTTGACAAATGTTCATACTTGCTTGAGGCAAGGCAATCAAGTATCTCAATACTTTGGGCTCAAACCACCTTCTGCTGCACAGTATTTGCACTCGAAGCAACAATAATATGATTTGAACTCTGCTTTGTGTTGAAGAAAAAATCTTTTCTAATCCAGTGAACTGAAACATGGATAAATCTATTTACTCATTGATCGTACTATCTCCAGGGTTCCTCGCATAATTTCCAACATACCTTGGCGTTCCTGCTGCTCAAGGGCAAAGC